GGCTATGCACCTCCCCTCTCGCGTGCGGGCGCTCGGCAGCGCGAAGACATTTACGGCGGCGGGCTTGGGGGATCCGAGCTGCCGCAGATGAGCATTCATGTACTCACTGGAGGTTTTCGGGCGGCGCGGCCAAGATATTTCCTACTTTCCATATCTGCCTGCACCTCTCAGGGCTTCATTTGTCATCGGGCTTTCTCCGCCTTCCACTCAAAGGACGACCTATCCAGGCGGGCCGGATGATATATTGGCTTATTTGACTGCGCCTTGTCCGATACACGATTCGCCTACGCATGTTGGGCAAATATCGATTTGAAGCAGGGCTCCGCGCCGCCTTCAAATTGTCCCCATTGCGGCTAAAATTAAGTCAATTCTGCGCGACGAGTAAAGTTGAGAATTTTTTTGAAATTACACAGGATTTTTTTTTTTGTTGATGACAATCTTCGGCTCGGCAACGCGGTTTTACTTATACGATGAGAATACAGCAAAAATAATAATCCAGAATATACAGTCAGGGGCATTTTTTTCCCCCCTTCGGTGTGTCCTGGCACTGACGACCGAAGCTTATCCTTTAACTGCTCACTATTACGCAGAGAAAATATGAAGGGGCACTTGGATTTTTTTTTTTTTTTTTGTAATGATAGCCCGGATAATATTGCGCACACAGGGGATTACACACATTCCCTCTTCTCCAAACGTCTGCATATGAGCGCCACGGCGTGAAAATCAAGCACAATGTCTTCTGTTGTCAACGCCGCGGCGAGGCGGCCAAACGCAACAACGGCTCGGCTCGATCTCAATACCATCTGCTTCCTGCTCGCAAACTTCCACGCGTCCCAAATAGAGCGCCTTCGACCCCGGCGAGAGCGCATCTCGTCGGCCCGCTGCCGGTGTTCCCGCGTCACGTGACATCAAACAGGACCGAACGGGGAAAGGGAACGAAATGCACTGACTGGGGGCTGTCTTTTGGGGTTGACTGCTGACCTGACCGCACACACCGAAATCGCCCGAAACTACCCCGACTAATCCAGCAGCAACGAGGGAAAAACGAGAAGGCGGAGAGATGTAAAGTTTCCATCTGCGGAGGAAAAATGAGACTCCTGCATTCCCAGACTATGTTTCATATTGTATAAGGCCTGGCAGTGTGAAAGTGAATCACACACACACACACACACACACACACACACACACACACACACACACACACACACACAAAGAGACTCCTACGCACACTTGAAAGCGAAAAAAGCTCAACGGAATACCTCGGATGCATTGCACGTTTTGTGGACGACAGGCTGCGTGATGCGCCAGCGGGATGAACGGTGCACACGCGTCACAGTTGTATCGGTCAGGCGAAAGATTGCAGCTAAGCGTCAATACTTTGTTGACAATTCATTGCCAAATGAATGCATACATTAATAC